GAGCCGCAGTCAAGAGCCTGCGCTGAAGGGCTGGGCCTGTGGGGAGGGGGCGGTGCTTCTGGGGCTGGGGCTGTGTGATAGGCTGAGTGAGCCGCTATCAAGAGCCTGCGCTGAAGGGCTCCCACCTCACTGGTTAAACCAACGGTTTGATTACTTGGACGCTTTATGTGAAGGAACTCTTCTGCTTTCTTTTCTCTTTTCCTTTTCGAAATTCGATTTTCTTCCTTAACGTCTTCTGTTGGTTTTTCTGAGCAGCCATCTCTTTCCTATCTGTAATTTCAGCTTTCACTCCAGAAGTGTCTTTCTGACGACTTGGGTTTGGGATTCATTTCCCACTCCTGTTCTCTAGCGCCCGAACCCCGGGCAGAGGTTCTTTCCTTAAGGAGTTGTTATGGGCAACTCACTCCAGAGTCGGGCAGGGCTTTCTTTTCAGCAAGGAAGTCGGAACTCTCCAGGCCCAGGAAACCAGAAGACCTGACATTAAGGAAATGGAATTATGCACGCTAAAACCCAAAAGATGAAGCCCAGATAGCGTGCTCCTACTGGTGTCTTCAGTCTTTAAATTCTGAAAACAATAGATATGTTTTAAAATCCAAACACGAGAAAGTAGGGAAGAAAATTAAACAGCTCGTGTAAAAACACAAAGGAAAGTATGAGTGAATTGATAACATGTGCTAATTTAAAGTTGGAATCAGGAGTGGTGCTGTACAATGAGCACTGGACCTCAAGGGTGGATTCAATCACAAGGTTGGTGGTTCAAACTCACCAGCCACTCCTCAGAAACCCTACACAGGGTTGCTATGAGTCAGAACTGACTTGACTGTGCTTAACAACAATTTATAGTTATTGTTTTTAAATAAGAAGTCTGTTCATCTCAATATACCATAGAAAGAGTAAAAAGACAAACCTCAGAATGGGAGATGTCTACAAGATGTAACTGGAGATGGTGCCAATCCAGCATGCACAAAGAACTGCTACAAATTAACAACAAAAACTGAGGCAATCCAAGGGGAAATGTACAAAAAGCTAGAATGGGAACCTCAAAATATAGTCAAAATAGCATCTGTATGTATGTATGTATATAGGTGTCCTGGTGTGGCGCTGTGGGATAACGCACCAGACTGTAAGGTTGGTACGCACCAGACTGTAAGGTTGGTTTCAACCGCAAACTCACCAGCCGCTCCTTAGAAACCACATACGGGGTCACTATGAGTCAGAACTGACTCCGCAGCACACCACCACCACCATACATATTTGCAACTACAAAGTTAAGTCAAAAAGTGTTTCTACTACTGTTCTAGTTCATACATGCCAAATGTGCTTAAACATGTCTCAGCAATTGGTGGATGGCTGCAGACAAATTCAGTAATGCAATTGTCTTAGTCTCCTTAGGGCACCCTCAAAAAAAAACATCCAGTTAGAGCAGTGATTTTTTTTTTTTTAACTTTTTATTGTGAATTAAGTGATAGTTTACGTGGGAGAACATCAGCTTTACATTCACCCTATCGTATTTCATTTCATTGCAATGATTACAATCCCCTCTATGCATCATCATTCAACAGTATTTGCTTCTATTTAACAGTATTGCTTCTATTTGGTGGGATGTACATCAAAACACTCAACAAAATGTGCAAAGAACTGGAATCAGAAAACCAAAAAGGAAGAACACGCTCAGTATTTCTCAAGCTAGGGGAAATGACTTTCATTATTGCATTAATCAAATCTGCTGCACAAGATCTTTTTAAAGTGTTGAAGAGCAAAGATGTCAGTTTGAGGACTAAGGTGCACCTGACCCAAACCATGTTATTTTAATAACCTCATATGCATGTGAAAACTGGACAGTGAATAAGGAAGATCGTAGAAGAATTGATGCCTTTGAGTTGTGGTGTTGGAGGAGAATACTGAAAGTGCCATGGACTGCCAAAAGAACCAACAGAAGTGCAGCCAGAGTGCTCCTTGGAGTCCAGGATGGCCAGATTTCATCTCTCATACTACAGACATAGTGTCAAGAGGGACCAGTCGCTGGAGAAGGATATCATGTGTGGTAAGGTAGAAGGTCAGAGGAAAAGAGGAAGACCCCCAACGAGATGGATTGGCCAGGTGGCAGCATCAACAGACTCAAGTGTGGCAACAGTAGTGAGGTTGGCCCAGGATCGGGCAGTGTTTCGTTCTGCTGTGCAGAAGGTCACTATGAGTCGGTACCGACTTGATGGCACGTAACAACAACAACCAATTATCATTCTTCTGAGTTCTTTTTCAGTTAGTTCCATTACCTTTTCTTCCTCTTAAACATGTTCTGGCTCTGCACCTTGGTGATTTGTTTGTGCCATTCTCTCCTAGTTCTTTGTATGATCTAAAGTCGTCTCAATTACAGCGTGGTGCCTTCATATTTGTATTGAACTGATGATTGTATGTTGCTGTGTTCCAAGGCTCTCACACACTGTTTCTGTATAAAGAATGGAAGCACGTGTACCATCCTCTGATTGCCATTTGTGTACCTCTATTTATGTGGGTTTGGCTGATGTTGTCTTGTCTATCATTGGTCAGGTGGTATAGGAGCAGGTATTGGCTCTTACCCAGTGGGTAAGAAAGTACAGTTGTGGTTGGGTTGTATGGACATGGTTGTTGTCACCTGTTGAGCTGAAAGAACAGAAATGTCCCCCCATTCCGCCCACACACACACATAAGACAAGAAGCAAAACAATAAACAAGCAAGTAACAATGAAAAGAGAAAATAATAAAGGATAAAACAACAACAAGAAACAGCAACCATAATAAAGGAAAATAATAACTAAAATGAGAAAAAAGGAACATTAACATGGAGCTATAGAAGAGAGAAAATAAAAGGAATTAAAAAAACAACAACAACAACTTTAAAAACCAGGGAGAGGGAAAATGAAAACACACAGTAGAATAGAAAGTAGTAAAGAAAGTGTGTGGTGGCGGGGGGAGGGAGAAGAAGAGGGAAAATGAGAAACAAAAGGAAAGGAAAAACAAAAGCAGAGATACAAAGGACAAAATTGAAGGGAATGGAAAGAGAAGTGAAGAAATAAACAAATCAAAAAGAATGAAACAACAGCAAAAGGAAAACACCTAACCCAGAATCAGAAACAAAAAACTTGCAGCTGTTGGGCCTGAAGGAGAGAACCCTGGGGGCCTACCGCCAACCAAGGAGTTCATGAGGTGAGTGTGGGAGGGTTGTGTAGTTGTTCTTAGGCACCATCCAGTCAGTACCAACCCATAGCGACCTTCTGCACAACAGAACAAAACACTGCCTGGTCCAGGGCCAACCTCACTACTGTTGCCACACTTGAGTCCATTGAT